TCTACGTTTTAGCAATACTGTCTTGTATCAATCACGAAAATGTTAAACAAATTTTAAAAATCTGAAACAGTTAATTTTGCGAACTTTGATAGCGTAATTAGAAGACGAAGTTAATCTGAATAATGTGATGTATTTGCGCAATACATTTCGAACAGTCTGATCACACATTTACTTGTCAAGTCAATGCGTATTAAACTGAGAAGTGGGGGGACAAATGCAACAATTAACAATCAACAAAATCTTTCTAAATTTTAATCACCTATTGTGTGAATTGTTGTTTTTGTCTCGCCACTCTCCAGTTTAATATATATTGACTTGACAAGTAAATGTGTGATCAGATTGTTCCAAATGTATTGCGCAAATACATCACATTATCCAGATAAACTTCGTCTTCTAATTACGCTAACGAAATAAATTTTAATTAAACTCACATTAAGCTTTTTTACCTGAATCGAATAATTAAATGAATGCAATTTGAATAAATAAGATCAATCCATACGGCCTAATTTATAATCTAATCTGACCTAGGAAAAATTTTTCAATGGTTTAGAAATGTGTACGTGTATGTATCCCCATCCGAAAATAAACTTTCCAATGACTACTTAAATTGAATGTTGTTTTGAAGAATGGTCGACAGTTTTGATTAATTTCTTTTCCGACACAGTTATACTGCACACGCCAAATCCTATTTCACTTTCTCTGAAAGTGGTACAGAAATCAGATGTGAATGGAAATTTTACCGAAATTATTAAATAAACAGGAAGAAGAACTTACATGCGTTCTTTAATCTGTTTACTGTGAATAAGAATAAAGAAGAGAATATGAATGTTTCCTCTTTTGCTTAGATAATGGGCGACAAAAAAAATGAACAAGCATCAAAACGCTGGGTAGTATAACTTTATCTCAAATGTATGGCGCTTTCCTTACTTTCACGGAATTAAGTTACTAAGGCTTGAACTACAAATTAGTTGCAGTGTGTGCTAAATATACTGAGATAACTGGCATGTAGTCAGATGCGTTCTGCTTCTAATATTTAATCGGTAAATTTTCAGCAAATCACTCACAAGTTACTCAAATACAACAAACAGTATGAAAAAGACTAAAAATTTGTGGGAGATTAAATTTATTGTAAACATATGGATTCCGTTTTGCCTTCATTCTAGTTAATTTGTGTGAAATTGAGATTGCTTGAAGCAGTCAGTGTGAACACCATTGATTACCTTACAGGAAGCATTAATAGTTTATCATGAAAGAATACTCACCCATTCGGCGTTGCCGCATATCTACATTTCCAAAATTCCATAGGGTTAGGCCCTTGATTTTAAACCAATTGAAATAAATTGGTTACTCTGGCATTATTATTCAGTAAACCTCTCAGTCAGTACTGAAAGCATCTCAGCTGTTATGAGCAGGTGGGTAGAAATAAAAGCAGTAGTTGAAATTCCGTTCCGTAAGAAATATGCCGAAGAAAATTCACATAAATGATATATGACCTTATCTTATTTCCCTTTAGTTTGAAGAACTTTCTCTGTGTGTTCATCTTCAAAAACACCTAGAAAGTGGCTCTTAACAAGTCTTCAAAACAGAATGATGATTAAATGAATATAATGGTAATTTGTTAAAAGTCACCTCTTCACAATATTTTAAGTGCAGTAATAGTATTACCTGTCTAAAAGAACATCATGGTGGTCGACAAAACACCATATATTCAAGTGTATTAGAAACATTCGTCATTTATTTTACATAAATCAAAACTGGTTGGGATTTTCCGTCCGCTTACATTTACTTCATCACCGGATAGATGCATTACAAACATTACATTACATTTTCAACAAGCACTTTTTATGAAATTCGACCGTAGTCACAATAATTGCAGCGCGCAAACCTCATCACTGTTGCAACATACTTGAACTTTGTGTTTAACAGTTAAAGGCATTCTAGCATCAGTAAGAGAGAGTGAAAAGTTACACTTATTTATATTCTTGTAACTGACTGAAAAATACCAAAAACCTAGTTGCATTTCAATAACTTGGAATTTGTCGCCTAAATACATTTGTCATTAAGGACATGCGACATCTAAAGGTTGTGCAAAAAGGTTAGAGAAAAATGGTAGATTCGCTGCAGTTCTTTATGTCTTGACCAGTCATCTTCTGTAATCAGTTACTTACAAAATCAATTTCAAAATATCTTTTTAGGTAGTTCCGGATATAATCTACGTTATGTCCATGACGAAGTGACCGATGTCCATACTTAGGGAGATCGATATGAACGGTCAGCCAACAGCCTGTGACCTTCATCTGTCCGTCAACGATTTCCATTTACGGTAGTTACAGCAACCCCTTAGGCTATTTGGATCCCATAAAATTCTGTAAGTTTTTGATGAATTCATTATTTGTTCGATGACGTAGTCAACGCAGATGTCGATTTCTCATCGTGTTTGCCAGTTTGATAAGGATGGGATAAGGACGTAGGAGGTAGCAACAGAATAAAGACAGAAATGCAATATTATGTCTCAAAAACAGATGTGTATGCTATTGAATGTTGATTTGTTACTGTTTCCACTATCAAGGATTTATTTTTATTGCAGGTGATGAAAAGGAAAAAACCAATAGGAATCTGTCACATTCGTTAACTTTCATCATTGTTACAGCATTTAAATGCTTCTTAAATAACTTCATTTTAACTAACGGTATGTCTGCATATATCTGGTATGTATGGACGGTAAACCGTGCTTACATATATCTGTGTGGTTTATGGCTAAACAAAGACATATAACAATAATAATAGCATGAAAATGTTGAAATTTCACGGCGGGTAAACGTCAAACTAGATAGATGAGAACTTTCGGTTGTATTACACAAAGGGGAAAATCAGAGAGCTGTAGTAATTTGCATGCTTTTGGGTTTATAAATTGGCGAAAAATTCACTTGATGTTTTCATGCTTTAGCAAACATGTGTTCTTTCTCATCAAAACAGAGAAATACTTTAACCTTAACTTTTGATAACAACTCGACGCCATCGGGAAGGAACTGTGCTATAACAATCCATAGGTAAAGTATACAACGCAGATTCTGCTGGCCGGATTGTCATCAAAGTCAAACTTAGAGCGAACTAAAAGGGTATTCAGTCAAACAGAAAAATTTCCAAATCCATACACTTTGTGATTGAACTGCACCTTTGATGACAAATTCTACCCCACCACCACATCTAGTAATAAGCGCATAGACTAATCCATTTAGCTACATCATCACATTTGAAAACTATGTACATAGAATTTGATTTTTACGGTGAAACGGGTAGAATGATTTCGCTGGCATCTAATGACCCATCTTTATCATAGTCACAAATTCACATTTAGCTCTGTCTCGTGATTGCTAAAATTTGGTAATTGTTTCATTTCCCGAAAACGTCTAACGCGTCTTATAGTTTATTCGCATGCTGCACTGAAAGCTCAGTTGGTTTGTGTTGCCTTTTGATTCTGACTGTATGTGTAAAGTAAAAGTGGATACATTTTCAAATAGTTTCGTTTGAAAGCCTTTCGTACTTTAATCCTCGTCAGTTCAACGAATTTGAAACGGGATATACTTTTATTTTCTTGGGATACGAATTTTTTCCCTGTGACTGACACTTATGGCTCCCGTTTTTCAATTTTTAGCAACTCTCGAACCACACTTGGGAATGTAAAACGTTAATCTCTTTCGTGAGTTTCAGTTTAACAGTAAGCCTGAGAAAAGTGAAAGCTGGTTATTTCATACAATCCATTCACGACTGCCAGCTCAGTGTTCAGGATTCGAAGAATTTATATATCTTATTGTCTGCAGGGTGTTCCATTGCCAATTTACAGCATGATTTGCGAATTTTTATGCACATCGTTTTTCTGAAGTGGCCGTAAAAAATACGTACCACACACTGATTTGATGTATGTATTGGAATCTGTCTATTGCTTTCTAATCAAAAATTGTAAGCATACACACTACTTACTTAACTACGAGCCATCGCGAACTTCTCGAGTTCATTCTAAAAGTATCTAACGATACGAAGTATGGATTCGAATATTCTCACATTTCCACTTACTACATGCTTTCAAGGTGAGATATATAATTCCTGCTACTAATCGGGACTTTTATGTTGAGGAAAGGTTATTTCAATGCAATGTTACATGCTACCTTCATATGACTTATAAGAAACACGACACTTGAAATGAAATCATTTGACAGTCAATTATTTTCCTTACTGTGTGGCTAGCAATAGGAATGACGTATAATATTAACTGATATGTCAAATAAACACCCACAACCACCTTACCACTAGAATTGTCTGAAGCAAGTAAAGAAGAAATTTCAGAAGTTGGAATTAGTAGATGGAAATTGCAGATGGATTAGACTTCAAGCAGTAAAGATTTTATCCATAAAATCTAAAATCGGCTCCACAGTTAGGCAGTAAAATAAATATAAAACTATTTAACGTACTGATAGTGATTATCAGTTTATTTTGTGACAGTCCTTGTACTTGTCTTTCATTTTTCATCTCAGTGATATTCTAAGGTTTTTGAAAAACTTCTGTTGATTCAGAGGATATGACAAAATATATTACTCTCCAGATGGTTCTGCTCTCGCTTTGTTTGATTGTTGATAATGTACACCAGCGGACTCGTCTTTCTTGACTTGAAGCGGCGTAATGAATAGCAGCGCTAATTTGAAAGAATAGAATGAGGAGAGACAGATTGTAAAAGAATTGAGAAGTTATAGCATAGAAGTGCTAGGAATCTGTGAGGAATCTGCAGATTGAATGGAAGTGGACTGTCCAAATTGTCAACTGGAAAGAAGTCAATAATCTACTTCGATATTGTCACCCAGACGACAACCACGAGGACGCTGAGTTTCGGAGTGGCTATCACGATGTCCCCAAGAGCATTGAAGGCTCTCATTCAGTAGGAACCCATCTCCTCCTATAGGATCGTGACAGCAAGATTCAAATCAAAAGATAGGAAAGTTAAAATCATACAGCGATACGCTACGCATCTACAAATAATGCAGATGAAGAGAAGAAGAAGGAATTTTGCAGACAACTGCAATAAGTAACTCTTTAAAAGAGATATGGATAGAAACTTTCATAACCGTGTTAGGAAGAAAGAAGAAGAGGCAAGATAAGGAATGGATCTCGACGGACACATGGAAGCTGATAGAGGTAGTGAAACCACTGATGGGGAAGCAGAAGGTGAACCAATGGAGTGCAGTTTAGGGATGAACAATGAAACGAGGAACTGAATACAATATATAAAACACTACACCAGACAGAGAAGTGAAGAAGTGTGCGCAAAGACGAAACACACTTCTAAGAAATACTTGCAGCTGAAGCACAACAGGCTGTATGTGGGAGAGATAGATACCTGACAACATTATATCAAATAACCAGGGAGGGAAGAGATCAACACACATGAGGCCTATAAAAGACAGTCAAGGAAAACTAGTTGCTAAAGAGGATAAACCAAGAAAATAGTGCGTTGACCACTTCAAAAATCTCTTAAGTCGACCACCACCACGACCACCTGAAACTCGTTCAGAAATGCCGTAATCAGCATAACCACAGAATCATCAGTGAATACAAACCCTCTGGCGAAAGCAAAAGTGCTGAATGCCATGCAGTTGCTGAAAACCAGGAAAGCAGCAGGATCGGATGGAATTCTGCCAGAAGCACTGAAAACAGACGCACAGACATCAGAGAACATACTCACACAACTACTGCATAAGGTTTGGAAGGAAGGAACTAAAGGCACCTGACTACTGATCGGAAGAAGGGTTACCTTGTTAAACTCCCAAAGAAGGGTGAAGTAAGTCTTTGCAAAAACTGGCACAGTATCATTCTCCTGTCCACCCCAAACAAAATATTCAGAATAAAATACGCTGTGGATTCAAACTTGTGACCGGAACAGGCTGACTGGATTCAGGAAGAACAAATCGTGTGCGGATCAAATTGCATTACTATGCTACGCATCATCATAGAACAGAGCATAGAATCACAGTCAACTCAACTCTACTTCAGCTTCATCGATTTTGAAAAGACCTTCGACAGCGTCAACCGAGAAGTAATTTGACAGGCAGCTGCTCCAACACTACGGAGTGTCACAAACCGTTATCACCTCATTCAGCAGCTATATGCTGTATGATGCTAAGTGCCAAATGATTCACAATGGGAAGCTCAGCGATACCTTTGAAGTGAAGACTGGAGTAAGACAAGGCTGCCTACGATCACCGATGATCTTCCCCATTATAGACGACTGAACTGGATCATGCAGCAAACTATGAGGAGCAAGAAGAGGGGCATACGCTGGCTGGACCGATGAAAAGACCCCGGAAGAAGATTTGGTTTTCATCCATGATGATTTTTGTCTTATGTCTTATCGCACTAACTCTACAGGCGTAAACTAACAAGTTGGCCGAAGAGACAATGCGAGGCAGGAAAGGAAGACTGGACTTCAATTGGGCGTACAGAAGATAGAGGTGATGAAGACACCCGGTCAATAACAAGTACCAAAGTGAGAAATCCAAAGGAAGGTGTCTCTCTCACCTACCTATCTTCCGAGGCAGCATCGTTTCAATTGCAGGTGGCGGCACAGATAAGGATGCCAAATCCAGGGTAGGAAAGACACCAACACATACCTTCAGTAATATGAAATGAGTGTGGAGATCCGCTGCACTGCACTCAGCATAAAGCTTGAATAACATCCAGATTTTCAACACTAGCTTCAAGTAAGTCAGTACTTCTATATGGTTAAGAGACTTGACGCGTTACGAAAAGCACTTCCAACAAATTACAGACATAAATCATCAACAGCTGCCGACACTCATTTCTGAAGATAAGATGGTGAGAAAGAATAAGCAACAAGAGACTCTGGCCTGGCAACGAGCCAACCAAGAACACATCGCCCAAAAAATATGCAGGAGAAAGTGGAGATTGATTGGGCTTACATTGAGAAGACAATTTGGGGATATCACATGCCAGGCTGTCTATTGGAAACCAAATGGGAATCGACGAGTTGGGCTTCCTAGCCGAGGCCAGCATGGAGGAGATCGTGTTAGCATGAAATGGAAGCTTCTGAGCAACCTTGAAGCCAGGTTCAAAACACCGCAGAGAAAACAGTGAAATTGCGACGTACTACTGAATTCCTATGTTCTACTAGGAACCCAAAGGATAATTAATAATGATAACAATAATAGTAATAATATTAATGATGATGATGATAATGATAATAATCATAAAAGAATACGAAAAATGCAATCTGTTGCATGGTGTGGAACCTACGAAACCAGAATTGAATGCTTGCTGTCTTATTTACGGTTATTTAATTGTCTTAAATAGCTTAGAAAATCAGATGATTTGTTAACTTCGGGCATCTCTCGTATCTAATGAACAGCGTGTGTATTTGAAGTTGTACAAGAACCCAGTAATAATCATATTATGAAAATTATTGTTCCTTTGCGTTCAGGAAGTAGAAAAGAGTTAGGGCATTTTCGTCAGCATTCTGTGCATCTATTTGGACAGCCTAAATAACAAAAGTAGCTCATCTGTGCATTTGAAATGTTAAAAAGCTTACGACAGGCAAATATTTTGTTTTAATTAGTCAATTGGAAATACAAGCCCTAATTAAATTATAGTATCTATGTTCGGCCTAAAGTTGATGGAATATCGCAGTCCAACACCATCACGTTATTCATCGAATGAGCACATTTCGTTATATCTGTCCTTCTACTCTTCGGCTTAATATAAGTTGACTTGACGGGTAAATGAATGATCAGATTGTTCCAAATGTATTGCGCAAGTGAATCCCACTGTCCACATAAACTTCGTCTTCTAATTATACTATCGAAATTATTCAAAAGGTTTGAGCATTTTATGTGGATAATCAAGACCTTTTATTATTTCCACATAACTGTCGCTCGACCGAAGACTGACATGCCAAATATCAAGAAGCAGATTCACGATAATCACCTTTTGAGTTTATGAGGAACAACGTTAATGCATGTTTCACAGAAGTGAAATAAAAGACGTACCCCAACAAAAATTGCCTTCGTTGTAATAATCTGCAATCAGTGAAAGTAATTCATCATAAGTTATCAAATATATGATGCACTGCCATGAAACGATATGTGTATGCATTTTATCTCACTTAACTATGATGTGAAGGTAGAGCGAACATGATGCGCTAAAGCTAAAGTTAATATCTATTTAGGTTTAGAGAGTTATTGATGATGATTACGACAGGTCGACGTAACGATTAGAAGAGCTAAAATGAAATTGAGTCCCAGATGATTGGTAATACATCTGATGTTCGAAAGATGCTTTTACTTGAACCTACTTGCATGTAAATTCCTTTAGAAAGGAAGATGATCACTTAGCAGTCAGTTGTTTCATGTACTATGACATTCGGTTTGAATTCTTGCTAGGTGCATAAGAAACGTAAAAAGTTATAGCATATGGTCTGTGCAGCAGCAGTTATATTCAGCTTAAATTACTTTGCATAATCTTTTGCAGAAGAGACAGGAACACAACTTCGATGTACTTCAAAATGTACCTTTACATTAGGTAAATGGACATTTAATTGCAACGTAAGATTAGGCTGCCGTTTGACCGTGTTCTCCAGAACACAGTTGCACCTACCTGTCGAAATCAGTCAATGAAATTCTGCTTTTAGTCATCTCAACTGGAAACGTTTTTAAGTGCTTATTATCTTTAATACATTTGGTTCTTCTTAGGATTCACTATTGAGAAGATTCTGAGAGTTAAAATTCGTAGGATTAGGTCATTTGTAATAAACTGACTTACTGCAACAAATGCCATCTAAAAAACGTACATGTTCTGGTTAATGGCTTAACAACTTGAAACAAATTACAAATTTAAAAAGATAAAACTATTTGATGAACTGAATTGAGAGAAAGTCACCTAGTCTGCAGACAAAGCATCCAACAAGAAACCTCAAAATGAGTCACAGCCAAACAACAGCTGTGCTTTTATTGAGCTAATGTACTGATCTGCGTTACAGACACGTTTCGTGGTTATCAAGTCGCACTTACAAAGGCTGAGTTTTATCAGTAACAGTCACTTACCATTTCTATCATTATCTATAATTCATAAATAACCAAGTCAGTATCTGCTCTACTCCAATGAAATCGAAAGTACAAAACACATGTACGTCTCCTTGCTGAAAAACGTATTAAAGCTGGGTTTCCCTTCATTATTGCCTTAGTGTTGAATCTAATGCATAGGGTTAATTAAGTCCTTGTATAACAAAAAACTAAGAAATTGAGACACTGAATAGGAAAAAGCTTTTACTGGTAGGACAGTTACTTCAGCTATTTTCGCATCTGCTGATGGCATAATTACAAAGGAAAGAGGTATATCCACCGCAATTATAAAATCGCAGAAAAACTGATTTTACTTGTGACTGAAAATTAAGTAATTTTACGTCTAGCTAGTGAGAGGAAGATGCGTTGTTTGGTAGTGAACGAACCTACTTTTGAAAGTTCCATCCGTTCATTCCCATGGTACTTGAAAGGTGGTTGGGAAACAACGCTAAATTCAACTTCCACTTCATTAGTGGTAATATTACGTGATCAAACAAGGTTCTTATTCCGAGAAGTCTCTGATTACCACGTCAGTCAATTTCATCTTCTGAACTAGGATTTTCTCCGCTGTATTTAAAAGGGAGTGGGGTATATTTCATTGCAGTGAATCAGAGGTAAAATGATTAGTCACCATAGCCATTTACTTTTGATAAGTGTGACCTGTTTTACTTTGATTTGTCTGTATTCACATCTCTTTTACAGACTGCAAATCTTCGGTGTTTATCACTTAAACGTCTAAGGTGTGCTGAAAATAGATTTTTGTAGGCAAACTTTCGAAAATGTAATGCAGAAATCCTTATTAGTATACAGGCGAACAAACAAACCAGTGTACTGATCAATCAGTGAGGACCTATTTCCTCATTGTTTCATATCATTATTGACATGTTATTGAAATGAAGTTTGTTTTGGCTTCCAATCTTATGCGGAAAAGTAATTCTTTTTACAGATTTAATTAGAATTGGTATCTTTGTCGCAAGGATAGAACATATCGTTAATGTAATAACATCGTATATCTATCAATTGTATTCTAATATTCTTTCATTATTCTCTAACTTGACCACAAACCTTTAACCAGTTGTGGTGATTTTATGGAAATCACAGAAACCATATCATTCCTCATATGTAACTGCAAGACAGAGATTCATTATTACAGAATGATACCTATTTCATCTCATAAAGGTAAACCGCATTTAAAGTTTGAGTTCATTGACGATTTGAAAAATTAGTCCTCCTAAAGATTTGAATGTAGAAGGTGTTAAATATGTATAAAACGCTGCAAATATTCCCTTAATCGGATCTCATCACCGGTTTTCGTATTTGGTTTATTTGAAGCGACCTTATTCGTGTTTGCATTCAAAAAATTAAAGAAGAATTACTTTAATAATCACCAAATTCAGTGTAATGGAAAATACCAGGTGTCTCTTATATTTTTTCGGAGGGAAAAGTGAGTAATATCACAATATCCTGGATTTTCAGATATTTACGTTGTTTATAACCTTTCAACGACAACAATTATCCATTGTAAAGCATTTGAAAGCATGAGCACACATTCAGCATCTTTTAAAAGGCAACAAATTAACATACTGCAACAGGTTACCACTGTGAAATGAGAACAAATAAAGCGAAAAAGACAAACAATAAAAATACGTGACCTAACTGAGTTAAAACTCTCTTACAGCCTCAGTGATAAAGGAACGTTAAGACAGCAGTGAACTGTTTAATGTTAATATCGCGAAACAAGCTGAAAATCTTTCCAAAGATCACTTACCTGTTCCATTGTCTAAAGCATAAAAATAGCTTGACATGTTACCATTATTATACAGTTACTTGGTCCGGAACACTGTTCATTAATTTTAATTCAGCAGGCTTCATTTCCAAGTTTAGAATCTCATTGACTGTAGGAACAACTGTGTATACTATCGGGGCTTTCACAATATTCCCATCATAAATTTTATACTTCAATGTTCCTAATTATTCTAGGTTGCATAACCTGCATCCTTTTTATGTTTGACTGTGCATATAAGAGTCATGGGAGACTTAATCGAAAGTAATACTTTTCGTTTGCATTTCTTCTTGAAATTTTTATGAACCAAATATTGCTTCCCTGTTTAATTCCAAGTTATTGATGCTGCAAGTGATGAGTCATTTCAGCTTTTATTTACAAAAGGCTTCTAAAATTAATGAAATAAGGTGTTACGATTTTTTTTCTCCATAGTACACTATATGTACATTTAGGTAAAGTTTCCGACTTATGTAACGGAACTATACATGAGTACTTGCATGTAAAACATGCATTGCTTTCAAAAGCTAAGTGTGAATGTAATAAAACTTCATTTTCGGAAAGAATGAATCGTTCCAATCGTCTAGTATTGGATATGCTTTGCAATGCGACTCAATCAAACTGTAGTGCCACACCTAAAAACTTATTTTTCTACATTAACTATAAGAGTAAATTGTACGACAGTTTTCCCACCCTAATGGAAGAGATCGGAAAAAACCATTAATTTTAAGACATCAAGGACAGAACACAGACTATGGTCGGATACTTTGATGAGACCTTTACTCTGGAAAATTTGATGGACACAAGGTCAACAGTAGAAGCATTGAAATTTAACAGAATCAACTCTGTCGACAACGATGACAATGATGCATTTATTACATTGAGTACTATGGGTGCAGAAAAATCAACACAATCGGACGGGCTTCAAGCAAAGCTCTTCAAAGAGCTTAGACTCTACGTATCTGGGCCACTGACCACTATATTTAGACTGTTCCTGAGTCAGGATATAATTCCATGTGACTGGAAGAATGCCGTAGTCACATCAACCTACAAAGAAGGTTTTAGGCAACACGCGTCAGATTAGAGACCGATAAACATGACTAGTAATGCAAATACTTCTCATGTCTGACAAACCGTCTCACAGTTACAAAATGTTGGATTAGGTCTGAAGATGACAAATTTACTGTAGACGCAATTCTCATAAACTTCTATAAAGAGATCGACGACGTACCTCATTTCATGTTGTCCATGAAACTAGAAAGTTTCGGAATCGCTGGTGATAAGCTTGTATGGATCACAGAGTTCCTTGTGGGTGCGAGACAGAGAGTAAGAATCCATTCCTATCTCTCCTCCTGGAAGTTGGTACAGAGTGGCACATCGAAAGGTACAGTCTTACATCCCGTGCTATTTTGTCTAACCATAAGCAAACTACTGAGCGTCAAGAAATCTCCCACAATGCTCTACGCTTACAATTTATAAACTTTGCGAGAAACGACGTATAATGACGATATAAGTACACTTCAGATAGACTTAAACAATTTTCAAACCTAATCAATGAATTTGTTGATGCAAACGGAAGCAAATAAGTGTGTTAGCATGCACATGAGGCATATGGATAGCAATACCTGCTACATTGGTGAGATCCCGCTACCTTAGTTGTCGAACCAAAATGACCTAGGAATCCCCGTATTATTCCGAAACCACAGTGTACTGTTAACTTAATTCATCTTGGAGTTTTATGACACTTTGGGCATTATACAGATTCTTTACTAGGATTAGTGGTGATATACCCACAGCTATTCAGACATCCTCATTTTGATCAAAAATGGAAAACGGTGTACAAGTGGTAGATCGGCTTTTAAGGCTAGATTTAAATCATCTGAGAAGAGTTCAGAGGATGACCACTTGTATGATCCGTGTGATGGCTAGCCCAACACATGAAGAACGACTGTGGGGACTGAATCTTATTTCTCGATCCTTTTGCAGATAAAGTGGGGATTCAGATATGCAATAAAATAATTAAAGAAGTGAATTTTGAGCTTATCTACATTTCCTTTTCTTTCACAATAGGTCGAAACATTCCAGAAGACTTAGCCAGATAGTAGGAAAGTAAGGACTAATGTGGGCCACTGGTTTTCGCACCGACTTGTGTAGCTAACTCTCAGAAAAAATGATGTCCGCATCAACAATTGACTGACTCATGAGAGGACTGGGCAAATATAGAGAACCACTAGAAAAGATTTTAATTGGGCAGATACCTTTCTATCCTCAAACCGTAAATCTGAAATCGAAAGTTTCACACTGTGTTCAAGGGTTTTAAAATTAGAACTTCATTAACAAAGGCTGTTTTGAAATTACAAGTCTCAACTTTCTGCATATATCGTGCCGAACATTCTAAAAGCTTATCAAGAAAACTGAGTCGGTGTATGTGCACTAAACCAAAATTAACTGGGAAAGCAATGTAACTTCCACATTCCAGAAAAAAAAGTGAAATCCGAGTAATATTTCTTCAAATTTGGAGTGATACTGTGTCACTGTTTGTGTCAACAAACTAGAAAATCTACTTCTTTTTATTTCACTTCTGCAAAGAACACAACACGCATAATATATGTAGTCAGTTTAATCAAGTTCCCATCTTCATTCACATTTCAACATGCATAGTGAGCATAACAGCGAAAATCCTATTATAAAACTGAAGTTGAACTTACCAGCACATGTGATATCTTTGGATAAATTTTATAAGAGACTTTTTAACTAGTTCATTTACCAAATGCAGCAGCAAGGTTATAAAAAGATTATTAGGCTTTGATATCAAAAGCTCATCTAAAAGTAATTCTCTTCAAAATGAAGTTTATCACTTTGTTGTGAGAACTAGTTATGAGTCATTGATTGCGGGAAACATTTTTCTGATTGTTTCCTGCAAAAAAGCAACCGAACTATAGCCGATTAAAAATTCCCTGTTTTTAACCAGACACAAATACGTGAATAGGTTTTGGTTTATTGCATTTACTGATTACTATACGAAGGTCATACTTGTACTTCTCAATATAAGAAGCGCTGCAGTTGATATTAGAATTCAAGCTGTACGCAAATAAAACTGCATCTTCAATTTCATAGCCTTCAACAACATAATCCTCTTTATCAATTAAGATTTCAACTCCCAGCATTTGCTTCACATTTACCGTCAATCCAAACCTGATCTAGCGGAAGCACATTAGAAAAACAAATTTCGAAACGCTCTTTCGCATTATACCTCAGTCTAAAGAGGATTTGGAATTGCCCAAAATTGCATATAATTTCTGAATCCAGTATTAGTGATGACATGAGTTCTGTTATACTGTGAGCCATTTTAGATAAGTAAAAACATTTTCTGTTGACTTACTCCACATATCAGCAACTGAGAAAAAATGAAAAGAATCAGCTTCATATACCTTCATTGTAATCTGCGTAAAGTGTACAGCCGAAGGTTACATTCAACCTAGTGTTTCATGACAGTGAAATTTTTCAACCTATTTGTATTACAGCAACTCTAAATATCGGTCAAAAATTTGGTAGAAAACTATCATAAAATAATAAATACATTAAGCCTTCGGAAGTTGTTCATGAAAAGGGCAATTCGGAACCAGTGATGTACATCTCGATGGATAAATATTTTCTGAAATTTAATATTTCGTTGTTACGACAAAATAGTAGATAAGAGTCAGGAAGTGGGTGATTGTGCTGAGACACCATTCTATACAAAAGTAGATTGAAACAAAGCATATGACTGACTTTATGGTACTGAACAGTATATGTAAAACACTATCTTGAATATTTTATCCCAAAACACAAAAGACGTCGAAATATATTCGAGTCCTAGACATGGCATATTTCAATAAGAAGTTGATAGAACACTGAATAATTTGCAAGCGGCTAACACTCGATTTAAATTCTCCGATGACCAGCAGTGCATTTCCAAAAATAATATACTAAAACCTGTACGATTTAAATATAACTTCATCTTCTAAGGTATATACGTAAAACTAATCAATGTAACTCACATGAATGAACAGCAAAAAGCAGTTGAAATAAAATCGCGAAAACCAGAAACATATTCATTGACGATTTCGTCGTCGATTGAAGACAACACAGAAAAGTAACTGTCATTCTGTTTATATACACACTTTCACGTAGACAGAATTACGATGAACAGTTTCTTTTTTACTTTCCACATGACATGATGAATGTTGATAGACGAGGTAAAAAATTTCTAAGCACATGTTTAGTCACTTCCAAAGTTGTTTTGATAGTTCAGTCACATGAATGAAGAACCATCTGATAAAAATGGTACGCAGTTTCATTTCAGATCCTAAGGAGTTCTCATCAAATCTTTTCTAAAATATGTTGAAATATAATACTACGTTGTATGTGAATGAGCTGTTGGGCTACACATTATCGTTCATTGCTTCAAAGTCTTGAGTAACACTTGTTAGTTCGATGACACTGTTACACTGATTACATTGGCAGTTAATGTTGCCACAGATACCAAGAACTTGTACTCCAGTTACTGAACAATAAGACAGATAAATTTTGTTAACATTATTCAGCCGTTTCTTGACAGACTTTCCCAAACAGAAGTTACTGCTCATCGAGACCTAGGATGACATGGTACACTAAATAAGTAGCAAAGAAGAACAGAGTCGTTGAAGGAATCAGACATCGGTGATATAAGAATCCCATAAGCACATCATTTCTACCTACTCAGACCTGTTCAAAAGATGAAGTCAGTTAGACACAAAATTTCACTATTTCTCTTATTGGAAACATGCCCACGCCATTTCAAACCAACAACAATTTTAATGAACCCTTGTGTAATAACCATAAAGTCACCGGAGATTATCCATCAGAGCTGGGTTATGGGTGGCCGATTTGCTTATTTCTCTGGTTCTTACCAAAAGTACACACGAGTTGTATCATCTTGGAAATACTTAGATGAGATAACATGCACAGTACTACAGTTGTAGGGATAAGATATTGAAAGTCAACTGAAATCATGTAATGTGGGGTCATTATCACTAACCCTACAGACAGAAATTCTAGAGAATGAGGACATTTTTGAAACTGCTTCAATGGCGCACTCACGGACACCTGCTGTCTGGTGTGTATTGGGCTGTGAAGTTCTTAACTTAGAACGTGAAGTAGTACCTTGTTAGTGCATACCACTGGTTAACTCTGAAATGTCCATGGTATATTACAAGTATGGATAATAATAAACGCACATGAAGTCTTCTATGGTGAGTGAATTCATCGCTATTGTAGTAAAGAAATGGTAAGTAATCCATGTGTTTGTAACTTAAAAACAGTTTTGCTCTACCCCATGTCTTGCATACTGCTTTGAAACTTTCCAACTTTTTGGTGATCGTGTTTTGTATGATCTTGTGCTTTACTACTATATTACATGATTCTTGAAAACCGTTTATATTTACAACACTAGAGATACCTGTGAATATACAAAAGCATTGAATCATCCCTGTCTATATCTAAAAGAGTCTCAGGGAAAATGGCTCGTTGTTACTTGATGAGAAGCTGTAGGCAATTCAGTGAATATAAAGACAGTTGTGAGAGCTGCACGCTGGCGTCTTGTCACACAAGGAGACAATAGATGTGGTCCTGATAATCAGGTTACTCAAATGGTTAGTGATCCACTGATCTAGTACGGTGATTATCAATTTGGTTGAACGGAAAATACCGCAAAACAGAAAAGTTATGCAGAAACATCAATGCTTTCGGAAACAATAACTCAGCTTCACCCAGAGAGATTTAGTGGAAGTTGGCTTTGAATCTGAGTCCACACAACAACAGGGGAAGCATGTGCCTCGAGTCGCAACAGAGAGCTGGTTACAACCATTAACTAATGCCTTTTACGATAAATTACACTTCTTGTTATGCTTCTCAAAATCGAGCCACCTGGATATTTGAATCAGCGAAGAGGAACAACCGTAGGAGAATAATAACAATAATGATAACCACTTTATTTTAAACAACTTCTCGGTACGGTTTCGAACTTTCAACTTACAACAAACGTTTATGTACTGCTTTAGAACATTTTGAGAGGATGTTAAAATGCCAATTTCAGTTATGTAAAGAATATCAATAACGAGGAAAACTTTAATTGGTAATTAAACTACTGGAAAAAGACTGCTTATTGCTGCGAAGTTGATAAGTGAGTTCTGTTCTAATAGTTATTTCTTAATGTGACATGCGTGCTAGGTAAGGTGCAGTCAATTTTTTGTATTTAGCGTACAAGCATACATACGAGCATACATATAAATGTGTAAAACTTGTTCATCGTGGTTGGACGTAATTCCGTATTAGATTTGTTTATTTGATATGCATCTCACAGTGATAAGTGATAAGCCAGTCTCAAAAAAATTACTATCCTGATTTCTGAAAGCATAATTTTGAGTTTTTGTAATTAATCTAGAGTTCTAGGAGCCATATATTTGTCTTCCTAGTACCTTATATGAATTCTGACAAGTTCATAAAAACTGATAAGTTTTCCCAATAGTCTTTGAAATAAGGGGGAAGGATTAGTTAGCACCATAAGGACGTTCGCATGGACGTGGAATTAGTTCTACTGAGAACCAAAAGTCGGAGAACATAAAGTAACTGTGTAGTCAAGCGGTGGTTGCGGCTGAGATAAAGTGTCAACCGCAAGAGGATTCAAACCAGTTACCTATAAACAATTTCGAAAACAACCCAATCTATTTGTTCTAAATACTACCTAATCTCATGTTCGAAGGCCCCAGTCTTGCATAAAACATTGTTATTGAGCTGGTCGTTATCAACTTGTTGTTTTGCCATTTTTACAGCAAGACCATTAGTTTATTTTCTACCCCAATTTTTAATGTAATTCACTGATTGGTTAATCCTTACTCTTCCTATGTTAATGCCTCAGTTTGCGAACAAGGTCAAGTTTCATGTGTATACCTACTCGCGTGCTTTTGAATTAGTTGATTGATATACTCGGAGGAATAAACTCTATCATCCAGCCTCATTCTTCTTGCCTGTTCGTCACGGGTTGCAGTAGGTGGCTCTTGCCTACGAAGTTAGCTGTCAGTTAGGTGCGTATATTATATCCTTTCGGATTATATCATCTCATCAGTTTGCAAATTAGAACAAATTCTGACTGGTTTGCCGACAAAACCAACTTAGAACCTTGCACACAGGTGCATCACCTCAAGTTGCCGTACTTCACAGTAATACACCAAGAACAGGTGGATAGACAACAAGTAATATCAAAGTAGATAAGGCGGTGTGAGAAGACAAACAATTTGAAGATAACAGTTAGTGCGAAAACTCAAGCTTTAGAAGATGTCAAAGAGTGAATACATCTGTACCATTGTGACCAACTTTCACCCATGTCATTAGGAGACCTCAACCACTGATTCCTTTCTTCTCGAGGACCACAACCGGGCAGTCTGTGTCACCCCACAAGACTCGAACCAATAGTCAGAGACTTCATAGACTGGTGCTACGTCTTGATATGGCCAAAATAAACACTCTTCCATTCTAATGCAACTTCCATTAGCATGGCACGTCGAAATAGGCGATTGCTTGGCATCCGCAGTACATGTTTAAGCCATCTTAGTCGATAACAGTTCACAACGTCGTCAATCGATTCACCCGCCTTGCCTGTTACCCTTCGCCTGACATCAACATCGCTCACAAGATGATTCCAGCACACGCGAGTAATGATATGAAAACACCTGTTACCGAAAACCCGTAACCGCTTCATTTCTTCTACTTTTAACACCATGCTTCACAGTGTATGGCAAAATCAACTGCAGCTCAGTATACCCGTCTTTCATGGGTGGTGAGATATCTGGCTGGCGTCAGAGATGGCGCAAGTTAATAAACGTCTTATGAGTGTTTTGTATCCGACCTGAGATTTTGTCAGCAACGCTTCCAGAACAAATCTCTAATTTTCTAGCCGATTAACAGTTGTAGTGATAATATGACCAGTGTTTTGAGATGATTTCTAAATCCAACTTGTGCAGGTGATACAGTTGACTAAACAAAGACATTACGACAACAGTAATTGAAATTCCAAACTTTTAATCCTGATTAAAGCCATTTTGAACACATCTGTAACTGTTTGGCTTCAGTATTATTACAGAACATTTCATTTGTTTATAGCATCCTATTAAAAGTGTGGCCTGTTGCGAAGCAGGAAAAACGTGAGTCAGGAATGAAAGTTAACCTAAACAATAAATATCTTGAAACGGTTGCCACAGCGTTTGGTCGATACAGAGTGAGGGAGGTGGAAGAATTCAAGTCAGAGTTTAGAACATATTTCTTCTTCTCCAAAAGGAGGTGCGGAAATACCTTTATACTCCCAAAATATTGCCTTGCTTTTCAGCAAAAACAAAGAACCTTAAGTGACATTCAGATGTCCGAAAAACCTTCCCCTCTTAATATTTTATTGTTCTACCACTGTCATGAATTTTACACCTCTTTCTCAGTTATATACATTCTATCAACCATTCTACATATTACGCAGTATGAATTTTTATGACACATGTCAGCTGTCATTGTAACTCAAAGTACTCTTATTATTATTATCCACTGTTCATCGTTCGTGTCATCCAAAATTCAGTCAGTGAGCGCGTAGGCAGAGGTTATGAATTAAAATCGCAAAAAGTCAGAGTCCATCTTGTTTGTTGAATACCTATTCAGTCGAACAGCACACAGATGCTTTTTCATTGATATCCAGTCAAGAGGTGCACTTCCTGCTCTAGAGCTCAACGGTATGCCTACAGTACCTACTTCAGGAGAGCTAACCACTGACTATGAGGGATATTTGTAGAGTAAATTTTGAAGATTCATTGGAATGGACTGGTGAGGTCAAATGAACAGCCACATTCAAGTTTCGAATACTTACCTCAGAGGCACAGCATACATCTGTGGCTTAAGATTCTAGCGTTCTGGCATGAGATGCTAATTATCCAATCTGGATGTTGAGTATATATTACGAAATTGGCAACGGGATTGTAAGAAACTAGGAATGGCGTTTCGCTGGCCTGGATATTTATTAGTGGTCTCAGCCTCAGAGGATGACGAAGTTCTGCGTAGCTTAACACTGGTACCAGTAAGTCGAGATAGAA